CTACCCCGGGGCTTCGCTTCCCAGGCAGGCAGTTTGCAGCGAATGGCTCCTTCCGATGCTAAAAATAACCTGGTAGGAAGCAAACTGGCCCCAGCACTTCAACTGAGGATAAGTGCATTTATTAGTAAAACTCAAGGCGACCTTTCCTGTTCTGCCTCTGAAGCTCGGGGAACCGGTGCTGAGCTGCTGACTGCACCGACGTGTTTCGATGCAGCGCTGGGTTCCACCAAGATGCATTTCTCTCTCCCTGCTAGCGATGCTCCACGGGCTGCTCCCAGCCGCCGGGAGCAGCTCCGGCTTTGGGGCCACGAGCGATTTCCCAGCCGAGGGAGCTGTGAATCGCCCTGTGAAAATGCTCCCAGCTGCACCGTGCCGGAGAGCACAGCAGGTTCCCGCTGACGAATGAATAAACCAAAATGAAAATATTTATTTTCTCTTGCAGTGAAAGCACCATGTTTGGGCCAAATTTCTTCCCCTACCTCAGAACTGCAGATATTACGAAGTCCTATTTGTACGCAGAGATTTTCCAGCTGCTTCTCTCCAGGCTTTGCTCTGGAAGGATTATCTGGGGAGATGAAACACGTCCCCTCTGAACTGCAAATGCAAAGACGTTCCTGTGTGTGCCTGGCCCAGCGGTTTGTGCCCTGCTCCAGCCCTGGCCCTTTCTTTCCAGTCATGCTCAGGGCTGTGCGGCGTCCCTGGGGCAGAGCAAACGGCGGCACAGGAATCGCAGCTGTTCCGGGCATCGGGACGCCAGGTCTGCCATGAACCAGCTACGGGGAATCAAATTAACACGAGGCTATTCTGGAGGAAGCAAACCACCCGAGCTAAACGGGAAAATAAACCGGAGACTTCTCTGGGTTCAGAAATATTTTGCTAACTCTTAGGTCCCTTGTAGGAGTGTCTGTTGGGGCGGGAGCAGAGCAGTGACAGGGGACAATGCTTGTCTGGGTATCCCCTCAGGCACCTCCACACGGGGCCAAGTGGCAGACTCAGGGCATGGCCCTTTTTGGGTTTCTGGCTTGGGAACCGCGTTTGAGTGGTCGCCTTCGTGTCGGGGGATTGGGAGCTGCGAGCTGTCCCCCAGCCTGGGATTTGCAGATGCTGAGGCGACTGCAAGTCCAGCGCCCGTTCCTGTGCTGTGCCTTTGGGAGGTGATGCTGCCCCATACTCCCAGCCTGAGTCTGCTGCTCGGGTTCACCCACAGACCACCCTCTGCTCCTCACCTTTGTGGCGCTGGAAAGGAAAAGAAACCCTCCTCTCGCCTTCCGTGCTGCTGGGTTTGCTCCCGTTGGGGCTGACCAGACCTGCTGGCAGTAAATCTGGAGACAAGGAGTTACAAATGGAGACCTGGTGAGGAGAGGGAGGGGGCACTGACCCACCCAGTGACTGGTTCCTCCACCACCAGCTGTGGCCACAAAATCCAGCCATGGAGAGATGGCTCATGCTCATCCCTGTGGACAGGTGGGTTAAAACACAGACTTCTCCGTAATATTTCAGCTCACAGGGCCTCTCTCCTTCACTGTGCACCTTGCGCTGTTGGCAGCTCTGCTCTGCAGCCGGGCCTGGGGAAACCTGCCCGAGGGCTTCCCCACCTCCCAGCTCAGCGCGGTGGGGTAGTGGCTATGGTGATGGGACCGTTGTTTCTGCTTTGCGCACAGAAAGATGCTTTTGGGAGGCTGCAGCATCGCCTGCTGGGTACTGCAGATCCGCTGGGGTCTTGGAGAGCCCCAGGCACCCAGATGAGCTGCACCCCACAAGGGCTCCCGTGTCACTGGCTCCTCTGGGCTCTCAGCACGGCCCTGTGTTGCCATCCCAGCATTGCACACACTTTTATAGGGGGATTTTTGCCTCCACAACCAAATAACGCTTCATTCAGTGAGAGCAAAATTAACTCTGTCCCAGCCAAAACCAGGACAGAGTGCCTGGCTCTTGGCATCATCACCACCAAACCTAGCCCTGAGCTCTCCTCTGGGCCAGCAACTTCCCGATGCCATGGGACCTTCCCACCTGGAACGGCCTGGATCGGAGGCACAGGGGTGCTGCAGGCTGCTCTGGGCTGGTAAGCGCTGACTGGGGGCTGTGGTGTGCAGTTCCCCACCTCTGCCGAGCAGCACCTCAGCATCAGAGCAAAGGCAGCCAGGATGGAGTTAACCTGTCTCCTGCCCTTGGGTGTCCTCTGCACAGCATGGAAGCAGCCTCTCTGAGGAGGAGCTGTGCTGCTACTGAGAAGCCTGAGAGCTTTCTGGTGCTCCTTAGGGTAATGTTTTTGCCCATGAGCCCAAACAAGCAGAAGAATTTCACGCTGGCTGGGCTGCGCCCTGGCACGAAGGGCTCTTCGGGGAGCTGGATCTGACCTGAGCAACTCCTGGTTGGGACAGAGTGGAGATGTTCGGGGAAATTCAGACGATAGTCTCCTCCCAGGTTGCTGAGAAGGCAGCGCAGGTCGTGATGCACGGAGCAGCTCCCGGGGGTTTCTCGCTGCCCTGCTCCCTGTGCTGAGCCCTGCCTTGAGCAGCACTGATGGCAAGGGGTGCGGAGGGCTTGCCGCTGGGGGATGTTCGGAGGGACAATCTGAAAAATGGCACATCTCTGTGAAGCCTGGGCTCCCCACGTCCTCCAGGACAAATCGCTGCCTGCAGGGCGCAGCCGCTCTGTAACGCACACACAAAGTGTGTGATGGCTGCAAGCTGCGCAGGGCGGCCGCTGCCGAGCTGCAAGCGCGTGCCTTCGCTCTGGCTCTCCCCAGGTCCCACGCTACATGGCAGCACCTATTTATAACTGCATACACTGCAGGAATAATATTAGAATGATGGCCTCACACAGTCACGCTAAATGTTATTCTATTTATGTGATTTGCTCTTCTTCGCAAGCTGTTGGTCTCCCAGATGCCAAAACACTCTGCCTAGCACAGACAAAGACTCAGATTTTTCTCTTTTATTAAAATCTTCACCAACAGCACCCAGTCCCGGGTATATTTACCATTTTTTTCCCAGGTCATCTGGAGTAATTGCATCTACTATTCCTTCGCCAGTCTGATCAATATCCTTGGTAAATAACATAACCTGTCAGGTCTGTTGTCCCTGTAGCCAAAGGTACTTCAGCAATGAAATTGTTTTGCTGAAGAAATAAATGCCTCTCGCCGAAGCTGAGGATGCTGTGACCTTTCATTAGTGACCTGGGTGACTCATGCCTTTTCGTGTGCACGCTGCAGCCTCCCACCCTGCCGCAAAAGGCGCACCATGACGTCCCGCTGCCTGGTGCCCGGCGTAACGGGGAGCCAAGACCTGCGGGAGCCTCCTGCTCTCGCTGCTGCTCCCACTTCACACATGGTCTGCACGCCTCTGCCCAGGCCTGGGGGCTCTCATGTTATGGAGGTGCCCTGTTTGCATGGCCGGGACCCCGTGGTGCAGCATCCCGGGGCTGGCCGAGCGTTTGACCCTTTGCACCATCTCAGTCCCACAGCGATGTCCCTGGCACCCCCAACCCTTGGCCGAGAAGCAGCTCCTGCTCCCCTGGGCAGTGGGAATCTCTTGACAGAGTGACAAATGCATAAGCCCATGTTTTCAACCCACGTTTGTTTAACAAGCAGGGCTTTACTGGCCTTACCAACCCCCCTGAAGTGAGGAGGGCAGCTCGGTCAGAGCCAGGTTTCAGCCAGAGGCCAGGTATGGCACGCTGTGAACTTTTATATACATGGGTGGGGGCAAATTGTCCTCCTCCAGCGGGCTGGTGGCTGAACCTCGGCAGCCGGCAGCTGCCGAGCAAAAAAAGGGCCTGCAGACACGACGTGTTTAGTCTCTGTTTAGAAATCTGTGCAAAGTGGAATAAAGAATTAAACAGGGTTGAGCCCTATGCCTTTAGCTGCTCCTGCTAGCCATACTTTCTTCTTGTAGAGTGTTTTGCTTGGCACGAAAAACAGGTTT